ATGTTGTGGGCATAGTTCTCCTTTAGATCATGATACGGGTTAAAGTGGGTAACAGGGCAAGAGTAACTTTTAATGAAAATCATCCCTCTCCCTTTTTACATTTTACATTCTTTTTTAGGTAAGTCTTTGCATAACATGTAAATTCTCACATTTTCATTTGGGCTAGTTCTAGTGCAACTGGTAGTAGTAGTAGTGACAGCAGTAGTAGTTAGTGGGCATTTTTATTTTAGAGTTATCATAAGACTGATTTTTGTCAAGGTATAACAATTTCAACTTGACTTTCAATGGATTGATAGCAATTCTACTCACACTGCATTTTTTGTTACTTTTATCTTAAATCCACTGTCCCAGCTCTCGATTATGCTTGCTTATTTTAATCCTATTTCTTAACTTTTGGCGTTTTCTGTTCTTCTTGATGCCGCAACTAACCGAAATTCCCTTAATTGTAAAGGGAGCCATTGGCAGTTGCTGCTCTCCATCCAATTCCTATCCTCATAGTGAAAATAGCATTGGAACAGTCAGTCCACCAAGCGATCCCGTTGGTTCTCGAAGTACTTCATCACTCGCAGCAGCAGGTTCTGAGAGTCAATCTGTGGTTTGGCGAATATCAGCCAGTCCACTACACGAACAACTTATCAGGCTGTATACATTGGCGTATATGCCCTCGGGATTCTGGACTCGACTGATGATTCGCCTCCTTACCGATACGACACTCGAAACTTTGGCACGGTAAGTCGAATAGTTCCTTGTAGAGGTTTAGTGGTTAAGCGAAAGTTAAATTTCAAAAACGTTTTGCAGATTTTTGTGAGTGCACAAAATACCCATTGCCTGAGCATCTAAAATCTTGTTTTTGATGTAAGTAGGATTCGATTGTATCCGTAATTCTTGGGCAAACACTTGTTACCCTATATCTCTTAAGGGGAGTTATGGATTGATAGACCAAAATATGGACTGAACTACTGGCTCTAAGGCTCCTGTAGACTAGCAGACCTAGTCTGTGAAGCATGAGGGATTGATTGCGATTAAGTATAGGTGCTAGTATCTTGCCGCTCCATACAAAATGGGACGTTATAAAAGCTACGCTATACAAGCGATGTTGCACATGATGGCTGTAAAAAAGTTTTATTAATAGGAAATTTAACTTTCGTGCTGTACTATAAGCTTCGGCGGATATAAAAAATTCACTGCACTTATACCTTTTGTGATGAGGCGTAATTTTATTCGCTTACGTTATTACATAAGCTTATCTATTTTTCTGCTTTTTCATATTTATCTACAACTTATTCTGAGTTATGAATTAAGTAAGTATCGAATATCGGCATATATTAGTAGAAGATGTATTCACCCTAGTTCGTTTAAACTGATGAAGGACTGGTAGTTGGATTTTATGCAATTAAATAAGTAGAGTTTTCGTTTCCTTTGAATTTCACATATCCTTGCTTTCCCAAAAGGGGTTCTCATCCAAGGTGGACTGCCTATGCCTTATCAGCAATCCCCGCGGGAGTCGAACCATGAAAGTGCAGTGTGTAATCTCGACACGTTAACCAATACGCCGCATTGCCACAGGTGCCCTAGGGTCGGGAGGCAAATGTGAATTTTAAGGAAGGCCAGGAATTTTCCCACAGCATATTCTTTGATGAAATCATCAATGAAGCAAAGTTATACTTGCTATGACACTATAGCATTACTTATTTTAGTTTATTAATTGGTTGTCTCATTAACTAATTACTGGTAGTCTCGAAAACCTACTTGTAAACGAAAATTATTAATAAAAATTGAGTTAAGAAGAGTTTTTTTGTGAGCTATTGTGTCATGATTTTCCATTTCGAAGAAAAAGTTGGTTGGAAGAAATTCTTGATGTGGTCTCACCGTAAATCAAAGGAGGTTTACCGAGTAGGGAAGAAAGTTGAGTTCTACACAGAAGTCCTCGGTTCACCGTCCTGTGACCCCAATTAAATTGTGTTACGTTTTTCACTTTACTGTAATAGAAATAATCAGAACAGGAATCCATGCATCACAAAATAGAGCAAAATATACTAAAGCAAGGGAAAATTTGGCCGGTTACAATTTTAGTATTCTACCATTCCCTGATTTTACCTTCTCGTCAGCTTGCAAAAAAGTTGAATGATCTACTGAAGATGTGGAACATAAAGACAATTTATAAAGAGAAATTAGCACTATGTTCAGTAGTCCCCTCGTTTAGAGAATTTTTGGACGCTCAATCTTGATAAGGCTGTTATAAGGTTTTGTGCTCATGTGGTAAAATCTATTTGGGGGAAACCTGCTGACCCATCCAGAAAAATATATGCATACACAAAACCTCTTGCTTACGTCTATGGGTCCAAAAATCAGAGCTCGCTGAATTAATGGCCAACACAAGACACTCAATAGACTTTTCCAAAAGACAACGTTTTGCGGATTACGGGGACTTTGCATCCAAGCGTAAGAATAGCGAGTCTATATAAATTAACTAAACAGCCAACATCCTGAATATAATTAATGAATGTAGAAAACTGAGTAGGAACTATTTGTCGCTATTGGATAGGCTTAAGGAGTGCAGGAAGAGCCACTGAATAAAAGGAGGCTGCATTAGCCTAGAGTCTGACTAGGACTAACACACTTACTAGGAAATGAGCATTGCATGCACCGAATAGACAATGGCACAAGCCTAAACTTGATTCAACATTAGAGGATCGTATACTTGCTTAGCTATGTAAGGAAACAGCTGCACTTCCCGTTAGGAAAGTAACTTCACTCATTTGTAGATAAGTTGAGCAAGGTTGAAGTAGCCGACCAAATTATGGGATGCCTCATTAAAATCTCGAAGTTATGTGTATAAAGAGGTGACTAGGATTGTAGCCAATCACGTTTTCTTTTGGTTTTATATATTTTAACTATATTTTGTGAAGTATGGATTCCTGCTCTGATTATGTCTGTCATAGTAAAGACGAGAGATTAGCACAATTTCATTGGGGTCGCCGGGCGGTGAGCCGAGGACTAGTTCGCACAATTTAACAGTCTTCCCTATGCGCTAATCCTCCGGTTTTCGGCGAGACCACATCACGAATTTCTTCCAACCAAATTTTCCTTCGAAATGCAAAGTTCTTTCACCATAAGGAATTTTGTCGATCATCATTGCAGATATAACTTTGCTTCAGCGATAACTTCTTTAATGAATGTGATAAGGGAAATTGTCTGGCCTTACTTGAAACTACATCTGCCTTCTTTCCCAAGTGTACTCGTGGCAATGC